TGACACAGTCAAACAGTGGTTATGGAGTTGTGAGCATTGCTTTAAAACGATCTCCTTCAGGATTTTTGCATCGAAACTGAGATCAGGCCGGCATCGGGTGCTAAAAATGTAAGAAAGTACATCATTCAAATGGTTGCAAACTAACGTTTTTTGACAGTATAATTTTCAGCACTTCAGCATACGTTTCCATTTCTTTCTATGGAGATTTGTGCGTTTTATTCCTTAAATGAGAGTAGAGTGTATTTCTGGATTTTCGTAATTTCCTCATGCCCCACTGATCAGGTTTGCTGTCAGACATTTGTTATGTCTCGAATGCATGGGGAAATTTGACATTCCCTCATTTACGTTTACGCGTTAACTTATCTCCGAATGATACGTGGCAAGCCGTTCCTTCTACTACCATATCATCTAGCGATAGATCACCCGGTTACATTTTACCCAGAGAGGTGATCTCATGTTCTAATGGGATGGTTGGTGCTGATGCTCTTCATGACATGAAAGCGAGGTTGGGTTTATAAACTGCTGTACTTAGTCTGCCTTTTTCGTTATGTGAAATTGGATAATAATATGGATAATTTGCGTAAGAAAAGCGTAGGCCGGATTAATTAATTTGAATATTTTAATTGATTACCGCCGTTCAAGCAGGTTTCAGGATTCGACGAGAAGCCGTTAGGTCGTAAATCACGCCCAAAACTGATTCAGACAGTATTTGAGAATCGACTTCGTGGACGAACCATGAAGTAAATGGCCTCAGCTCTATCGACGTTGGCGATTGTTTATGAGCAGAGGCTGGTGTGAGGATATCGCGTCGCGATCGTCAACCACTTCGAACTGTAAATGTGCTTTTTTGGTGCCAACTTGACGCTCAAAAAACCGCTTCAACCGCTTTAAGGAAATGGAAAAGTCCGTCACCACTTGGATATCAGTCAACCTTGCGTTTTCATGACTGGACTCGATTTCTGACACCCTTCTTTCATGGAGTTTACCGTATGACGCTAATCTCCGTTTCCTTGTCATCAGTTATGAATTATTAATCGTTCTTCGTTTTGCTACACGTTGACGACCACCTCAGTGTATACCTTCTTGATTCTTTTCTTCTCATGAAGCGGTATTCATTTATCTACATCAGAAGGACGAACTGCGAGTGACCCGACCGGGAAGCCATTTTACTGCTGTTTTACGAAAATGCCTCAAAGGCACGTACTTGGTTCCTAAAGCTTTGAAGCTTTCGTACAGTGCTTTAATATAAGCACAGTTGCAACGATGTTTTTTGATTGTTTTTCTACCGCTCATTCTTACATTGAAAAGAACTCAATTCAAGAGTATAGAAAGCTAACGTGAACAACACCGTAAAACCGTAAACTTACGCGATTAAGCTTTTTGACTTTTCTCTGTTACTATAATCGATGGGCACCATTTTATGTTATCTTTACAGTAAGAACACATTTCATTATCGCAAGTACGCTGCACTTATCATCTACTCCGATCAGTTATTTGAATGCATGTGTTTTGTTTATCCTACATCACTGTCCAGTTATTCTGGTTGTGCGTATTCAGGATTTCGAAAACCGCTAATGGATGAACACTAGTGACATATATCAGCGCAATGATACAAGGTAAAAATCATTTCAACCTCATTTTTCATAAAATCTCTAAAAGTTTCAACGGTGTTTATTTTTTCTCGACGCCTAAAATACAAGTTTTAAGGTGATTCAGAAATTTGGCTTGATTCATTTGATCCAGCCAGACAGCAATTAGTCAGCGAAGTCGTTTTATTTGTAACTGATCCGTTTTTTGACGTTGAAGTTCATATTCTTGAATCACAGGATTTTTAGATAGTTTAGCATCTACCCTTCAGACAGCTCCATTGGCAGTTTATTTTACGAGTTCTTTCAACAACTCCAAGAGTGCCGCCGGAGCTGCAGAGTAGCTCCTTGTACATAATACGCTTCCTTTTCATTGGCTGTCGTTAAAAATGTTTTGTTGTTCCTTGAGTTATGCAGCAATGCTTTAAACAGAGGTGCTGTGCAGATAACGGCTAATAAAGCTGACTTGAGAACTTCTGCGTTTCTGCTGTTCATTCCTTGTGTTGACGAAATTCGGCCTTTTCAGATTAGACAGGTACTTTTCAAAATCATGTTTGATATGTGTTGGGTACACCCAAGTTATAGTAATAAATGGAAAGTTTGTAACTGTTGGAATTTCAGTCTTCCTTACACTTTCATAATGAATCCATTTCTGGCGCCTTTATTTTCATTGACTTAATGATGGGGACGCTGATATCCATTTCCATGACGTCAGTGAGAAATGCTTCATATAGCCAGCATAGACCGTACATTATTATTTCCTTCCTACTCATCAGAATGGTATTCATTTATTAACCTTTGAAGGAAGAAGGACTAGTGACCTATCGGTTCTGAGGGTGACTTTCTACCTGCCGAGTAACCTCGGTCTGAAACAAGCAGCGTGTAGCAAATTCCTCGCTTAAGGGAATTCGCAGTAAAGACAAACTTTGCACGCCCTTGGGAATCGAATTCAGCACCTCGGGAGTTCAAGTTCAAAGCCGACTTATATTCTACCACCACACCACAACTCAGCTCATGTTGTGGATGTTCAGCCAGTTGAGTTTTTATCTAGGGGTCAAAAAATTGAGGTTTGAGTAGTATTCCAAGTCTGACTGTAATGGTTCTAACTGTTTCAAAGTACTGCAACAAATAATTTATTCAGAGCAACGCAAAAGTATGGCTTGTGACAGAAATTGTTTTGACAGTGGTCAGGCCGGACTTCGACCTGATCAATGCAGACGTGCCCAATAATTCGCTGGAAACATTTTAGTCCTCGGGGTATTCACTTGTTTTACGCCTCAAGGTCAAGATGTCTGCTACTGAAAACTATGCTGAGAATTTATCGTTCCATTCTGACGCGTTGTCTGCTAGATTTTGTTCAAAATAGTCGGTGACTTTCCATCGAAATGCGCTAAAAGTGTACTTGTTACTTGGCTGCTTTTAGCAAGAAATTCTGTTCGATTCAGTTTTGTGTTATGCTCAATAAACAGATGAAATGATATGAAACAGCAATGAATGGATTTAATGAAAACTTTGAGAGCAATAAAATAAAAGATTAATAATTAATATTGGTATAGCATACCCTGCTAACGGAAATACTGTTGTCAAGGGGAAAGAATAAATACTAAGAGATGAAGAATTGAAGATGCAAATTAAGAAGATTTGTAAAGAAAAGGCGGAAATCATTCCTGTGGTGATCAGTTCGTTCGAAGCACTGATAAGAGATCATTTAGCGCGTGCTCAAATTTGCTGAGGGCAGTGGTAGGAGGCGACCGTGCTAGGAGCAGCCAGAATTTTAAAAAGATTATGCAGCTCCGTGACCCTTGGTCCAGGGTTCGAGCTGAAGTAATATTTATACCACTGATGTTATATTTCATGGAGTGTGATTGAAATTAAAAAGTTTATACGCAGATTAAGCGGTACAGCACTGTCAGTGTTGTTACACGAGAGTGCTTGAGAGTAATCAGTCCTGGATATACTTCGACCGCTGTATTTTCATAGGTTGGTGGTTGGTCGCAACCATCCAGATATTTTTA